GGGGGGAGGGAGCTATTGTGTCCATCTACAACTAAAAATATATATTTTTTAAAAGAGCATGACATGCGCAGCAACAGCACCTGTGACAAGTGTCCCAGAGAAAAGAGGGAGGACAAATAAGCCAGCCACAGGACGCCAAATGACTAGAGCCAGACAAATGAGGCCAACACTCTTGCAGGTATCCAGGCTCCCTAAGACTAAAGCTGCCACTGCTTTCTCTGTGGGTAAATAAACTATCCTTCTGTTAACTCAAGTTAAGGCTCTGATACTTGCAAATGAGAGTCTTGTTTACATTTGTGCACAGCTTTAAGTAAGAGCTGGTAAACAATCCAAATAAAATACCTAATTTCAGATCTTAAAGATTAAGTAAGCTGGCTTTCAACAAACTTCTATGGTCTAAACATCTGTGGCACCTTGAATTTTTGTTCTATTTTGTTTTGTTTATAGTGCTAGTGATAGAATCCAAGGTCGTGTACATGCTACATAAGTGTTTGACCACTGAGGTATATATATTCCTAGAGCCCCTAAAATTCTTATGTTTAAATCCCTATCCCCAAGATGGTAGTATTAGGTGGGACCTATGAAGAGATTAAGTTATGAAGAAAGTGATTAGGTCATTGGAACCCTATGAATGTTTAGATTAGTACCCTTAAGAAAAAAGCCAGATGGATACAGTAGTGTTCTGCAATCCCACCAACACAGGAGGCTGGGGCAAGAGGATGGCAAATTCAAGGCCAGCCCAGCAACTTAAATAAGACCTGGTCTCCAAATAAAAAAGGGCTGGGATGTAGCTCAATGGTAAAGCATCCCTGGGTTCAATCCCTAGTACCATAATAAATAAATAAAATAAAATAAATAAAATAGCCCAGAGGACACAGTTAGATGGTGTCTATCTAGAAAGAGGGCCTTTATGAGATGGCAAATGAACTACAAAAAGGGTTTAATCAGATGACAAATCTGTTGGCAACTTGATCTTCGACTTTCCAGCTTCTAAAACTAAGAAATAAATTCCAGTGTTTTATTATAAGTCACCTAGTCTACCTGAAAGCATCATACAGGGACAATCCCATGTTATAACTAAATACTATGCTCATAAGGAGAACTGGGTGTACTCAATAAGAAAGTGTGTGAACTATGAGTTTAAAACAAAAAACAAAAACAAAAACTTCACAATTTAAAGGGGGGCGGGAAGCTCCTCTCCAAATTTTATTTTTAAATTCATAAACAGAATTTGAGAGAATAATATGATAATATCAAGAGCTAGTATAAAACATATGAGTTCTACTTTTTTTTAAAGGTAGGATATACAGCAGATTAAGACACGGCCTTTCAACCTCTTTATCCTAGCACCTGGGATACAGTAAGCCCTCAGAAAGACTATGATAAGTAAAATAAGCTCAGGGTAGGAAAAGTATATTGGTGATAGAACTAAAAATACAAGTATTAAAATTATCGTATTTTTCCTTTTCTGTCATATGAATGTGTCTGTGTATGTGTGTGCATATAATTTGGTGTTGTAGACAGTCTGAGGTAATTTGCTGGTGACTTGGCCTTTCCCAAATGAACTATCAGAGAATATTTTTCCTGTTTACATCTAGATAAACATGTAGCTATCACAGGTTGAAATTAAGAACGTTATACAAACTTGCAAAAACCACATTTTCAAATTAAGAGCAAGTATAAAGTTAGAACCTCACACTTTCAGTTCTGCTTCTTTCTGTATTCTCATTTTTAGTATTTTATTTAACCTCTTTCATGGATCATTTGGCCCATATAAGGGTTTCTCTTTGGATTTCTGGTCAGGGCAAGAATCCTGTGAAATTAATCTTTCATAATTATATAGTGTAGGCTGGTCCATTTCATAATCTCTGTAACAGGACAGGCAGGAAAAGTAAGGGCTCCTCTGCCCTGTAAAATAAAACATTAGCAGATTTATTCTGCATTTTCCTCGGAACCAATGTTGGCTGGTTTCTACTTTCATTAAAACAAAACAAAACAAAAAACCAATTCTAGATTAATTTCTAAGTGCCAAAACTGTGCTTGACTCAAGCATGAAATATAAGTTAGTAAGATATCAACTCTGCTCTCTATAAATTCACTCTCGTAATGCAAAATGTCAAGTTTACAATTAACTTAAAAAAACAAAAAGTATAGTAGGAAAGTGGTATGACAGAGAGAAAAACTGCTGTGTATTCCAAGGAGATAGTGACAAAAATGAAAATGTCATCAAGGCAGAGCTATATAATGAGAGAAATATGACTACAAAGTACAAGCGCAGGAAAAAGCAAAAATTTTCAGGGAATAGCATCTTCATCTGCCATGAAGCTGAATCTAGAATGTATAAATAGGGGAATACTGGAATATAAAACCAAACTGCAAATTGTGGTGAGAGGTGAAAGATCTGAATTTATAATGAAGAGTGTAAATCAGGTAATGGTGGGAACTAAACACTTTTTTATTTATTTATTTTTTAAATATTTTTTAGTTTTCGGCAGACACAACATCTTTGTATGTGGTGCTGAGGATCCAACCCGGGCCGCACGCATGCCAGGCGAGCCCGCTACCGCTTGAGCCACATCCCCAGCCCCCACTTTTTATTTTTTTAATTGATTTAAAAAAAATAAATGATAGCAGAATGCACTACAATTCTTATTACACATATATAGCACAATTTTTCATATCTCTGCTTGTATATAATGTATACAAAGTATGTTCACTCCAGTTCGTGTCTTCATACATGTACTTTGGATAATGATGTCCATCATATTCCACCATCCTTGCTAACTCCCTGCCCGGCCCCATCTGCCCTATCTAGAGTTCATCTTTTCCTCCCATGCTCCCTCTCTTTACCCCACTATGAATCAGCCTTCTTATATCAGAGAAAACATTTGGCATTTGTTTTTTGGAATTGGCTAACTTCATTTAGCATTATCATCTCCAATGCCATCAATTTACCTGCAAATGCCATGATTTTATTCTCTTTTATTGTGGAGTAATATTCCATTGTGTACATATGCCACATTTTTTTTTATCCATTCACCTACTGAAGGGCATCTAGGTTGGTTCCACATTTTAGCTATTGTGAATTGTGCTGCTATGTACATTGATGTGGCTGTGTCCCTGTAATATGCAGTTTTAAGTCCTTTGGGTATAGACTGAGAAGGGGAATAGCTGGGTCAAACGGTGGTTTCATTCCCAGTTTTCCAAAGAATCTCCATACTGCTTTCCATATTGGCTGCACCAATTTGCAGTCCCACCATCAATGTATGAGTATACCTTTTCCCTCACATCCTCACCAACATTTATTGTTGTTTCTTCATAACAGCTGCCATTCTGACTGGAGTGAGATGATATTTTAGAGTAGTTTTGATTTGCATTTCTCTAAATGCTAGAGATGATGAGCAATTTTTTCATAAATTTGTTGATTGATTGTATATCCTCTTCTGAGAAGTGTCTATTCAGGTCCTTGGCCCATTTATTGATTGGGTTATTTATTTTTCTTTTTGGTGCTTAGCTTTTTGAGTTCTTTACGTATCCTAGACATTAGTGCTCTATCTGATGTGTGAGGGGTAAAAATTTGCTCCCAAGAATGGCATTATTCATAGAAATAGAAAAAGCAACATGAAATTCATCTGGAAAAATAAGAGACCCAGAATACCTAAAGCAATCCTTAGCAGAAAGAGTGAAGCAGGTGGCATCACTAAACCAGACCTTAAACTATACTACAGAGCAACGGTAATAAAAACGGCATGGTATTGGCATCAAAGAAAACTGGTAGACCAATGGTACAAAATACAGGATACAGAGACTAACCCACAAGAATACAATTATCTTATATTAGACAAAGGTGGCAAAAAAAAAGGCAAAAACATGCATTGGAAAAATGATAGCCTCTTCAACAAATGGTCCTAGAAAAACTGGAAATCCATATGCAACAAAATGAAATTAAATCCCTATCTCTCATCATGCACAAAACTCAACTCAAAAGTGGATCAAGGACCCAGGAATTAAACCAGAGACTCTGTGTCTAAAAAGAAGAAAAAGTAGGCCCTAATCTTCATCATGTGGGATTAAGCCCCAACTTCCTTAATAGGACTCCTGTAAGAGCAAGAATTAAAACCAAGAATCAATAAATGGGATGGATTCGATCTAAAAAGTTTCTTCTCTAAACACTTTTTAAATATAGAAGTGATGTGATTCAAATATTCTTGCAAATTAAACAGGACTTGAAAAAATGGGAGTAGCCAAACAAATTAAAAAAAAAACAACAAAGATACCCGTGGAAAAGTGACAGTCTTGTCTGATAAGACTGTCAGTAGAGTCATAAATTAAGGAATTGTATTATTGTCATAACAAAGTTTTAGGAACACATTTATTTTCCACATAGAAACTAAGGCTATTTAAGAATTAGTTAATGAAAAGACAAACTCTTTTCTTCAAAAGTCAGTATTTCACAATTTTCCTACTATTGAAAAAGGACTGATATAGAGAAAAAGAAATCCAGAAAGAAGCATTTCTTTTAGAGAACTCTGATAATGCATAGAATATTTCATCCAAGAATAATCCAACATCCTAACCTACTTTCAGCCAAATGTTATAAGCTAATCTGATTTTATAAACATATTCACTGAAACAATTCCTTGCATCCCACCCCCCAAACTGTGGTAAATAACTTTCTCTGAGAGCCAAGAGTTTCTATTTTTAAATAATAAGACATAAAAACTCTGAAGAAGGAAATGAATAGGATGCTAGGGGTGTAGCTCAGTAGAAATGCATAGATTTTTAGCCATGTATTTGGCAATATAAAATGGTATAAACAGTTTTCCTGCTAAGAGTTACTGTTAGGTGCTCCAGACAATTAAACTATTGCTCTTTAAGGTACTGGCAATACACACTTGTAATCAAGTATATTCAGTTTTCTAAGTATTGCCAATGTAGATAATTTCTTTTACCCTTTAGTAATTAATCCTTTCTCTTTTCTCAAATTTTTTCAACTTTTATTTTTAATAATACACTCTTTATATCCTCCTTAAGATTTGTCAAAAACAGAATGTTTGCTTAAGAAACATAATAAAAACTACCCACAAACCTACCACCAGTAAGAAAACACTGGTAATGATGTCAATTGAAGGTCTTGAATATACTTATATATATACTTATACATATTTCTATATACTTATATATATTTCTATGTACAGAAATATATATAAGTATATAGACGTGTGTATTTTTTAGATTTGTAGTGGTTTTTTGTTCCCTTCTGTTTTTATATGTTGGCTTGTTTTTGTTTTAACCTTTATGGCATTTCTTTCAGTACTGCCCTGAGTGTAACAGTTTGAGAATTTTTACTTTCTTTGGTTACTCTTAAATATTTTACATTTTTGCATTTTGATTTAGCACTGTTAGGGGACAAACTATATGTGCCTTGACCAGACAAACTCCATTTTACCCTGAGCCTCCATTTCATATTTTAAAAAAACAAAAACAAAAAAACCCCCACCAAAACCAAAATCCCCACTTCGCCAATGAGAAAACCCTGCCTCTGTCATCCTGCTTTGCACACCCTATTTAACATCACATAGTGGTTGAAAAATGTTTATTTTTATATAATGTAAGATAGTCTCCTTTTAGTCCCCATTTTTATTGGGGAATGTGCTGTTCCCTGAATTCTGATCCACTTCGTATCTTGTATGGTTTTGACTTACAAGTAGATTGTGGCTTTGAATATAAAAGCCCAAATTCTGAAGGGTGTCAAGGGGTACACGGGTGACCTGCTTGCAGCCTCCTGTCCTTCTGGTGAAACAAAAGTTCCATGTCTTGCTTCAAGACTGATTCTGTGATTTATTTCAAACATGTCACAACAGCACTACCATAATTTTCTCCTTTAAATTTCTGAGTTCCTTTTTATACAATTTTAATTTCTATTCCTTTTACCTGTTCAGTCTCCCTAAATTCATTAAAACTTACTTTTATTTTATTGGTTAATCTGAAAGTTTCATTGCATCATGTTTTTTAAAAACCATATGATTTCATTTATATGCCTTTCTAGAAAATACAAAAACTATTAGGGGAAAAAAAAGATTGGTGGTTGCTGGGGGTTATGGATCAGGAGGGGGGACAAAAAGGCATAGTGTTCTTTCTTAGGTAATGAAAGTGATCTGTCTTCATATAGGTTGTAATAAAGGAGGGTAAATTACATGTTAATTTCATTCAACATCAAGTCATCTTGGTTCTGATTATTATGTGTGTTTCATATAATTAACATGTAATGTTTTATGTTTTATAATCTATGACATCAACCACCACTGCACTTCAGGACATAAAAACTCATACCTAGGGAACTGTTCCTAACATCTTACATTAAATAAAATCTCACAGACATTCCACTATCAGGATCATGAAACACTGCACTGACTTCAACCTAATTTGGATTTAACCTCAGCAGGGTTTTGTGAGGATTCTCACTGTGTATGGGTCTTTCCAGAGCCCCTCTTTCTATTACACAATCACTGAAAATCTCAGTAAGTTTAAAAGTTTCTATTGGGGTTTTAAGAATGGGAAAGTCTGCAAATTTACTAATTTTGTATGTAATTCATGTTATATAATAATAGTCTTTACAATTCATAAACAACTATAAATTTCTTCATGACTTATAGTTAGCAGACTTATACAACTAAATATCAACCTTTTTATAAGTTTGAGTTCAGGGGTTTCAAAAAACTTTTCTTACTTTCTTTTTTAACCAAAGCATTATATAGTAAGATAGATTTGCCTGGATTAAAAAAAAATGAGAGAGAATGTTACAGTCATATATTACTAAACTATACTTACTAAATCCTTCTCAAAATATAGATCATCTTCTTAATTATACTTATGAATTTGAAGCAGTATATAAAACATACTTTTGAAAAGACCTTATGCTTGAATTTCATATTCTAATTAAAAGATACATGACCATCTAAGGCATAGGCACAGAGTATTTTGCAGAATAAAAACGCTATATGCACAGCACACAATCCTAAGATATTACCTGATAGATATCAGATAAACTGCTGCTCCCAGAATCACTGGCAATGCTACAACCAGACTGACTAGAAGACACATGAGTCACCTGTGGATGAGGGTTGTCTGTGAGGTGCATCTTGGTAAGATCAGCTGGAAGCTGAAGAAGAAAAATAATTTTAGTTATTCTAAATGTCAAACTTTATGTTTTTAGGAGATTTTAATATAATGTCACTTTTGCAGCACATTTTCATTTTATGTACATTACTGTACAACTTCATTTTTAACCTAAATTTTTCATTCTTACTAAAAATCTTTTAAATAGTAACAAGCAGATGGCACTTTCTAAAATAATTAGGCAAACCTAACAGAGTAGCAAGATCACTGAATGTTTTTCAAAAGAGATTGCCATTACTAACGGTATTTCAAAGGACAAACCTCACCCCTTTTTACCACCAAATAAAAATATCAGCTATTCCCATTGTAAAGCGTAGGAATACTATTAAAACACACACACACACACAGGGATGTGGCTCAAGCGGTAGCACGCTCGCCTGGCATGCGTGCGGGCGCTGGGTTCGATCCACATACAAATAAAGATGTGTCTGCCGAAAACTTAAAAAAATAAATATTAAAAAATTCTCTCTTTAAAAAAAAAAAAAAAAAAGAACATCTTATACTGTAATCAAATACAGCCAAAGAAAAGGGGTGAACCAAAAAGGGAGAGTTCATTTTCCCATGTGCTACTGCCACCTATTTGTATTTTATTTACAATGTCTTCTCACTGAGTTGCTTAGCATCTCACTTTTGCCGACGCCAGCTTTGAACTCTCGATCTTCCTGTCTTAGACTCTCAAGCTGGTGGGATTACAGGCATGTGCCACTGCACCTGGCCAGGATAGGAGATGTTATAACACTATAAGACTTCCAAGTAAGAAAACCAAGAGAAGAAGTAAGAAGACTAAGGAGAAGAAAGTCATTCATACAAGTGATACCAGAGTAATAAACCAAAGCCAGAACGAGTCTGGAAATAGGTTTGGTAATGCTTATAATGTATTGACTGATATTCATTTCACGACTTCCTAAAAAGCAGGTTATTATTCTTATTCCTTCTTTATGATAAAAAACGCAAGCAGTAAAATTACATAATTTCCCAATTTCACCCTCAAGAAGTAGTGAATTAGGATTCAAACCCAGTCCTATTTGATTCTAGCACTCTCTATGATACTATACTTTGTGCCAGGGATGTTGGTGGTCAGATCAACATGATAACAGATAGGTCTTGCTTTTAAGGAGCTTAGTTTAAGAGCAGAGAGTATATATAAGCAAATACCATTTGCTTTTTATATCAAAGAAAACAGACTTCATTCCCCCAAACTTCCTAAGGGATAGGAACAATAATGACTGGTGATTCCAGTTACCATTTGAGTGTTTCTTACTTGTAGTAAATACATAAACAGTCGCAAATACACTTTACATGCCTTTTATACAGATTACCTACTCTAATCAAAGAACTAGAAGAGGTAAATACTATTATTATACCTAACTGACAGATTAGTAAGCCAAGGCTTAGAGAAAGTATAATGTTTGCCCTTGGTCACACAGCTAGAAAGCAGAAAAGCTGGGATGACACCCAGGCAAACTGACTCTAAATCAATTTCTTTTCAATACTCAATAATTTCTATTTTCTTTATAACAAATGAAGTAACATAAAGGTTCTGTTCCTTCAAAATAAATTATTGGTTCCTTTAACTTTCTCTTGCAGCTTATCTGCTCTTTTTCCTTTTCTTCCTGATCCAGCCTCGACTTTTCATCAGCAAACTCAATTCATTCTCATCCTTTCAGTCCATCAGATCTGGCAAAACTTTCCCATTTTCTAGACTCCTTCATACATTTCCCAGATTTGAACTTTTATCCTCTACTGGAGCCTACATGGTGGGGTAGGGGTGGGAGTATGTGGTTGAGCTTGAAACATTGACTGAAGATATAGCGACAGAGAGATACTGAGGAGAGACTATACAGAAAGAATGCAATCATGAATACCATGTGGGAATTTTGAATTTGATTTCAATAGGCTACTATAGATCTGGGGGAAAAACAATGACATTAAGAGCAGCTATATTTCTCAGCAGACAATGTTTGTTGCAGTAATAGAAAGATTTCAAGTCTTAAATGCTTAACCTATCATAGTGTATATTTTGAAGATTTAAAAAGTTCCATTTTCACTCTACTGCTCTGAATGTGGAACTCACGTTTTCTGTATCTCTCATATATATATATATATAAAAGTTAATACCCCCCCCCACACTTTTATTACCAAATGAAGGCCTGGCATAGTGATACCTATCTTGTATACATGTCTGCTCATTAAGTATGTACAGCATAAATAAATGAATATATTTGACTTCTGAACACTTTGCTGTTCAGGTTTCCAAGGATATCTGAACAGACGAGATTTCATTTGATCTTCTGTACAGGAAACAAAAAGAAATTTAGCATATGCATATTCAGTATTTCACTCAGCATAATGTGTTGTCAATTGTTTAGAGCTATTCTAGGAGATAAAAACCATGAGTATTTGGCTGTTGGAAAACAATGATATTCTTATGCCTCTCTACTCTTTTGATAACAAATGTATATATGGAAGAGTCAGGAAGTCCCAGAAAAAAGAAATCTGTTTCACATAGGATTCTTCAAAGTTACTTTTCCTCAATATTCTTATCAGCATCCTACAAATGTGAAATAGTGCTTTTGGATAATTCCATGTATCCAAAAAGAAATACTTACATGGCAATTAATTTTAGGACAATCCCAGGTATCCCTCCAAGAAAAATTTAGAGGGCAATTTACATGTTTGGCCAAGAAATGGTCATGAGAAATACTTTCAGCATAGAAGGGCAAAGGAAGTATGGAGATCAACTGGAATGCAGACACATATAGCATAAAAATAATGTTACATGCATGTTCTAAGTTCCACTTCATGTTTTAAACTTAGCCTTCAAGAATAATCTGCCACAACCAAGAATCTTAAGATACTTTTTGCTATGTGAAACTTTTAGTCCCTTACAAACCATACTCAAACATTATTTCACTTAAATACTATATACTATATACTATTAACCCTAAAAATGTACTTAAATATACTTAAAAAATCAATTCTCCAACAGAACAGCAATCCTCAAAAATCAGTTAAACTCCAAACTGCATTATTAAAACTTCCTTTAAAAACATAATTTCTGTGCCTATCTGCAAGTCACTTACTTGTTAGTTTTAAAATGACCAAGATATAAATATAATTCTTGGATACATATTAAAAAGTGCCAATGTGCTGCTTAAAGGAAGACATTTCAGAACTCTACCCTCTACTAATTTATTATATATATAAAACATTTCTAACAGGCTTGGTGGTCTAATTTTCCCTCTGCTGAACTAGGAGCACCTAGTGTATATTTGATGCTGGCCACAACACAAATTGAATCTTTGGGAGTTTGGGAGATTCAATTTTTTTTTTTAAAGTTAAAATAACGAATGTAACTTAGACCTCATTCTCACTGGATAGATAGTAGGAAGAATAATGTTCAAGATGAGTCCTGGGAATAATCAAGACTAAACAGTGCTGACTAAGACCCAGAACTATAGCACTCAACACAATAACACCAGTCACACATATTGAGCATTTCAAGGAAGGATAGTTCGGACACAGATGTGCTGTGAGTGTAAAATATGGACTGAATTTAGAAGACCTGAAACAATAACAAAAAAAGTAGAATACCTTATTAGTATTTTACATTTCTGTTGAATGGCATCAGGCTAGAGACATGCTGTATTCAGAAACCATAAGCAATCCAATATATCTCAGGTAGGGATGTGATGCCAGATATGGCATTCCTAGGGGCATAGATTTCCATACTAAAAGAAAACCTTCAAATAGTTTTAAGCAAGTAAGTGGTTGGAAGAGACTACTCTGGAAACACAGAAGATGAAGTAAAAGAAAAATCACACAGATGAGGGACAGGAGACACTAGTCAAAGCACAAGAAGATGGAAGCCTTATGAAATTAAAAGTGAACCACCAGAATTTTAAGGACGTTTCCAGGACTTGACATAGTGACATATGCAGAAAAGTGTCAGCTGAGGAGGATAGGGGTGGGAGTGGTGGAGGGTGGTCATGTTTCCAAGATCTAAAAAGTAGTCTGCAGTTTGTTTTGTGGACAGTCTAAAATTTCTCAAAAACCCAGAGGAAACAACTGTATCCAATCTTATTAGCCCTGGGTATATCTACCAGATCATCACAGTACTATGCCTGAGGCATGCAAAACTACTGGTGAAATTTAGTGTATTCCTCATTATTTTGTAAAAGATGAGAGTTAAATGATCTAATTATTATTATTTTTTAATTCTAAGGCATTTCTTCCCACTTTAATATTTTTGAAATCAAAGAGAAAATTTTAATCAATATTTATAGTTAATATTTATAAAAGTAAAGGCAGACAGACTCATTGAGAAAAGAGGAAGTAGGTATAAAAATGCTTGTCAAGTTTGAGAACAAGTAAGAAAACCACAGTGGGTGGAGTAAGAAAGAGTGCTGGGAGAGAGGAAGGCATCACATTGCCTTGTAGGTCACGGTGAAGACTTTTATTTTGAAGAAAGTCTCTGAAGGAGGGAACAATCAGCTTTGTCAAATGATGAGGACAATCAAAGTAATATGGACTGAGAAATGATTTAGGTTTGCATAAATTTCCAATGACTAACAACTCCAAAAGCACCTAAAAGAAGGAGAACAGAAACCCAAGTGATCTGCCTCTTCCACCTAGTAAACAGTCCCATTAAACAACACTAGTAGACCACGAAAGCAAGCCCCCAACTAAAACCTTCCCTGAGAAAAGTCAACCACTCTGAAAGAAATCCAAAAACACAACCAAGAGAAGGATTTATACTTGAAGAAGGAGCTAAAAAAACAATAAGGAAAAAGAAGAGCATCCATAAAATGAAAACAAAAGTAGTTAGGAAAAGCATCATTTAACAAACTCCATATATAATATATGGTTAAACTTACAAATCTAAAATATGACTAGTACTGGTTACAAATAGAAAATGAATTAGTGAGTCAGAAACTGAAACTGAAATAAATGTTTAGAGACATTACTGACAGACTCTGATTTCCAAGATGTGGAGAGACTAGATAAAAGAAGCAATTGTAATTTTTTTCTCCATAAACTACAAAGTTCTCATAACTGAAGACAAATGAGAATCTTCAACTTTTGTTAGAGTCCTTCAAGTACCAAGAAGGGGAAAGAAAACAAAACATTAGACAATCTATGATAAAACTTGATAGCACCAAGGATAAAACAAATAAAAACATAATTAGCCACCACTAACAAGAAGAAAAACAGATTACTTAAAGTAACATAACAAAAATTATAATCAGCTGAAGACAGTACATTAGCTTTTTCAAAGTCCTAAAAGGAAAAGACATTGGACTTGTTATTTTATGACAAACTCAACATCATTTTAAGGATAAAATATAAATAGGAATCTTGAACATACAAAGACTTAAGATTCATCCCCTAAGGACCTTGCTGATAGAACTACTTATTTTAGCAAGAAAATAAATGAATTTGGCGCAGTGAAATACTAAGTAACATAAGCAGAATACATAGATCACTAAATTAAAAACAAGAAAATGTATTAGGGAATCAGAAGTACCAAGCAATAAAAATTTAATGACAGGCTTAATGTGTCATTACAATTTAAGACTAAAATTCTGTCAGTAGTAACATTGGAGATAGGGAAGAAGGGAAGAAGACATGTACTTTTATGAATTCTTCTATACTTGCTAAATCTCTGATCAAAAGTTGTCTATTAGTACCTCCAAAGTGTTTTTGTTGGTAATCTTAAAAAACAACCCCTATGCTTCATTGTTAAGTTTTGCCTGATTTGGTTTCACCCATTTATCTTCCACACATAGTTTGAAACCTTATTAGTGCCACTATCAAGCTTCAGTAATGCTTGGGCCCCACAGGTGGCATTTGCACTAAAGAGGCTATCCTCTAAATATGTGCAGATAATAGCATGAATAGATTGTGTATCTAGATTTCTTTCCATCTCTTTACATTAGAATCAGCTATTAGTCAAATGAATAGAGAATTTAAGTCCTTCCAGAAGATGCCTTTAGAAAAGATATACAATGAGCTAAGCCAAATAAAACAGTACACCATGATGCTGGCACGGTATTTCTCCCTTAGTCATGATCAACAGGGAAACCTTTAAACAAAGACTTTCATACCTTCCTGAAAAGGGCTTCTGTCTCTATTCTAGAGATCCATGAAGAAATTTTAACATTCAATATTATTATTAAAATATTTTCTAAAACAGTTATATAAAACTAAAAATTTATACACCTGTTTTTGTTTTGAAATTAGCACACAAGACAGGAATGATGACTCAAGTGGCATAAAGCTGCAGATGTTATGAATAGCCACTATGAACAATAAAATTTACTGAATTACAGTATGTATTTTGCAACAACCTAGCATTTTCTATATGTGGCATTTTGCTATTTTCAGAGTTAATATGTTTGCTTTAAAATGACAAAAGGTTTATCTATTACTACTTCAAAAATACTTCATAACATTATTAAATATTTTTACATTCATACAGTGTTTTTTCATATTATTTTACTGCTTATGAATTACCATCTAATCTTCAAAAACCTGTACTCTTCAATCATAACTTATCTCTAGCACCATATTAGTAAAAAATGTTGTAAAATATAAGGATTTCACTCATATATCTAAATATACCAGCTGTTGAAGAAAGTAAAGCAACAAAATAAATTCAAGTTAAAAGAGTATGATCATAGTTTTAGTAAAGGCCAGAAACAAATGACAATTCAGTCTGAAGAGAGTACACATTAAATGCACTACATTTTTCAAGACAACAGATTATTTAAAAGATACTTTTCAAATTGTTTCAGAGGTAATATTAAAATGCTTTACAGATGTCTTTGAATTAAAAATAAAATAGCAATAATATTGAGCTTTTTAGGCTGCTTTGTAGTTCTTCAAATTTTAGAAAATATACTAGCATGGTAAGGCTAATTTATAATTCAAAATATAATTTAAATTTAATAACTGTATTATATCAATCTCAAAGAAAATAATAATTACTTACTTTGGAGGCCCATGGCTGAAGACAATTGGCATAACAGCGAACAAGAAAAGCCATTTCCTAGGCTGGTAGTTTCTTTTTCAGAGCCACACCAATGAGAATGTTGACAAAATTGTTAAGTTTCTTTTTACAAATCATACACCACTGTAGTATTATATAAACGCAGCTTCTCCAAACCCCTTTACAAACTGAAATCAGGAGCCTTCAGAAGCTTAAGAGTATTGTTCTAAATAACTGTAATGGTCCTTATTAGAATGTTCACTTTAACAAGCAAAGCATGGTAAATAAAGAAGTTTAGAATTTTGGCTGTTTGGACATTTACATGTGTCTTCAGGCACCTGGCACAGACATGCACCAGACATGCACCATGGTAGCTTAACAGTTAATACTGTACCAATCAAAGCAAATAAGGCAACATGCACCAAATCTGTGTTCCTGGATTCTATGAAACCTTTCTTCTCTATTATAGTTGTTTCTTCTTCAACTTATTTCAGTCTGTAGAATAAGCACTGCAGTATCCTTCTTCATCTGAAGCAAACCCAAATACTGTATCCTAAAGATTAAAAGTTTCTTCTTTATATGCATAACCATCAGAGGTTAAAAATAAAAAAAACCCCACTGAACAAATAGTAGTTAGAAAAAATGTATGCCATAAGAGGTTTATCCTGTAGAATGCTTGAGAAATCTCCAAAATTCAAATTATTTCCTCTTTTCGCAAGCACTGTTTACAGCTCTGCAGTACTGCTTCTTGTTCTAATGCATCAGTAAGACAGTGCTGTTGATCTAAGTCTGGCTTTTCTGGTTAAAAATTTATGTATAATATGATACAAAAACACTTCATCTTTTGATAAAGCAAGATTCTACGTTAGTGTCTTAATTCCTACTGTCCTTGTCTGTTTCAGAGCAGTTCCCTAAGGAGAAGCTCCTATTGATTCTATGCTCTGCAGTAAGATGAAATATCTAATAAGAAGGAAAGAGAGTGGGAGGAGAATAGAGCTAAAAGGATGACATCACCTGTACAGAAAGCCTTCAGAAACTGCATTAGATCAATTGGCTACTGTATGTGCAGATGTAGCCCAAAGAGCAATTTATTGAAAACACCACACACACACACACACACACACACACACACACACACACACACACACACACACTCTCTCTCTCTCTCTCTCCTCTCTTTCAGTGAGACATGTCAGCAAGCTGAATTCTGTAAGAAAAAAAATTCACTTACACACCCTTTGCATTTGTTTTAAAAATCCATTTTGAGTTTTAATTCTGTACATTGATATAAAGCTATATTTCAGAAGCCATACTTGTAAATTATTATTCAAATTTAACACAGCATTGTCCTCCCAAGGGATAATAATTAGCTCTGGTGAGATACTCTTGCATTCCAAATACATAAGGCAGTCTAGTACTCAGATGTCACATGTATATTTTGTAACAATACGAATTGAGGGATTTTTGTTGGCAAAACTTGCTTTTTATCTAACAATTGTTCTGAAAAGTATAATCTTCACGTCTACTCTAACATTAAAAATATAAAAACTGGTGCTAAGATTTATATGAAAACAGTAAAGCTTAATAAATATAATTTCATTCTTGCAAGAAAAAGTTGAAAAAAATCCTCAGAACAACAGATGCAGCATTGCACCAACTCCTTTAAAAGAATAATAATCTGTATACTATAGTATACAGATTATTTCTGTGGCCCATTGCTAAATTCCTAGAAAGAGATGAGAGGTCAGCAAAACTCAGAAGGAGTCAGAGGAGAAAATGATTAAACCTCCTTCCAATATGAGCTTGAACTAAAAGGAAATGGCCTCATTTTTTCTTTAAAAATTACAGAAAAATATTCATTTGCCACACCCTTTCCTATCTGAAAAGAACAATAACTCTAGTACCCACACTTCTTCTTTCTTCATGTTTCTGCCACAAGGCATCAACTGCAGATACTCCCACCTGAGCACTTAAGCTTGTAATAGTGCCTCTCAAAACAGTTACCAATGATAAAATAGTTACACATTCAGGCAGCAAAATTGCAAAATTCGGAGAATAACAATCAGTAAACAAATTAAGCAACAGAACCATTTTTCTTTATTCACCTAATATTTTTAATTTAGTGAGTGAGGGTATGCATCATAAAAGGAGATTAAGACAAGTTTTAACAAAGGATTTCAGTTACTACAGAAGAAACACCTTGTCATTGGGCTCAAGAAGGGGGGAGGGTAGGAGGGAGGGGTTCCTTAATATCCCTTGGGCAAAGTCTGAGTCACTTTTTGAACAACACTATACTGCCAATCTGAAATTATGCTGCTACTTATATAACTAGAATGTAACTAAGTAAAACTAAGTATTATCCTGAACAAAGACAAGTCATGCTTCAAAATACATAATTATAAAGTTATGATTCCAAAAATGCAAGAACTTTTTTCCCCCAAATTGAAGATACATAAAATATAAGTTTAAAAATAAAATAAAATTTCAAATAAAATAAGCATGACTAATTTTCTAAATGTAAAACATGGAATATTTGATTTGTTCAGGTTGATTTTCAAGCTCAAATGCATTTTTTCATTTTAATTCAAACCGAGTTGATATCTGAAACATATTAAACATTTGAATATAAATTAAAATATATTAATCTTTTTTTTTAAATGGAAAATCACTGTACATGGATGAAGACAAACTTTTGCTGAAGATAAATTGGCAAAAAGACAAAATTTTGTACTTCATAATCATTCTAACAGGACTCAAATATAATTCAATTTCAATTCACATACAGTGTAAGTAGGATAAATTACAGCCAAATCAAAAAGCAAAATCCTAATGGAAACCTTTCCCATTTTATAAATCATGCTGGTATCACACAAAGAAGGACCTCAAGCTGAGCAAGGGGGGATGGTCACTTAACAGCTTAAAAACCTACTGTACAGCATGTAAAACACAATCCATAATGCCATATGTTAGATATACTGTGGTTTATGCCAACTCAATAAAGGAACAAAACTCTTTTCCTTCAGTTTGGCTTGTAAGTGAAGATGACATCATCCTTCTCATTCTACCAATCACCACATAATATCTGCTATTCTAGGAAAAAAAAAACTATATGATGATCCTATTATGCAAAATCTCCCTGTGCAACAACACTACAATGAAAAGAAATAAACAGGTCAAATTCTATACTCAGCATATGAATTCACAGCATCCTGATACACAAAATTGTTTCTTCAGAAAAAAACGTCTTAACCTTTTAATTAATTACTAAAGAAAGAAAATCCCTTGAGAATAGTAATTTATTAAGAATAAGCTATTTTTCACTTACATCACACAGAATTTTATCATGACCTCACCTTATTATTTTACCAATTCTAATGAAGTAACTGCAACAAGGAAGAATGTCCTGATCTACACAATGTCTAGAATCATCACCAAAGAACAGCCATTTGTGAATACACTTCCCCTGCACATGAAATGCCATGATACTAAGCCATACTGATGAAATCTTTTAGAGGACCCTTTAAACTACTACAAAGTTTCAAAACATTACAATAGTTTTATAAAAAGGTAATTGCTATACAGTTATTAAAATTAATATTAACTGTATAAACTATAAACAAAAATAAACTGGAATATTTCAAACTATTGTGTAGAAAACCAAAGATAAGGTTCTGATTGCTACTAAACTGACTATATATAAACCACTTATTTCAGTAAGTAATAACATAAACAAGAAAGAAGTAAAAAGGTTATTATGGATTATGACAGGTTATCAGAAGATATACATTCTAGGCATTATGAAAAAAAAACATGAGTAAGAAAAACCAGATATATACTAATCTCAAGCATAGTAAATGCAGTCTATCCTCCATCTGCACAGTGAAACATAATCACAATTTAGAGAAACCAAATTTCAAAGGCGAGGAACAAAAGAAAAAAATTCTGTAGTTGTACGAAATAAAATGCAGGCACTCATTTCAGTAAATTAGTTGTAATTGTTTGGTTTTTGAAATATAAACTGTTAAAGGTACTGATTTACATAATAAAACACTTGAATCCTTTTGAAAAATTAATGAATAAATGATACACATTGCAGTGGACAGAGGTAATATACAGCCCTTTTAAACGAACACAGCAAGCTTTTCGACACCCTTTTCCTCCCATGCCTAACTTGAACATCTGAAATGAATCTCTGTAGTTATCAGATGTGGTTCACTCTAATTACTGGTGCCCCCCAGGAATTCTGCCTTCAAACTGCCTATTCTGTCTATTTCTTAGCTTTTCTGAAGGAAGGGCTATGTTATACCCTTCTCCTATTCTTTTGTAAAAAACAGTGTGCTTCAGCATACTGTCCTCTATGTCCACTAACTGATTACCACATGCTGTCAAAAAAGTCCTGTCAAAGCCACCAGCAGGATACATGCACCATGAAATATGACCTATCCTTAGGGAGTGATCTAGAAAGAAAATGCAAAAGGGAGCGAGAAGCTGTTATCATCAACTAAGGTGATGTAAGCTTCTATAATTAGAATCAGTGAAACTGAAGGAACAATAAAAGGCACCACCATGTTTCTACTCTTTACTACACTGGCAGTTTGTGTCAAACATTTTTCATACTCACACAAAAGAACACACTGAAAAAAAGAGGAGTCAGTGAAATACATTATATATCATGTATAAATCTACAGTTTTGAAACAGCATATTAATTTTCAAAAATAAAATGCCAATAATTTAAAGTGCCCCACAAAACAATAAAATCTCATTTTAAAATTAAACTATCAATATTGTCTCTATCTGTAAATGCCTGCATTACATTAGATTACCTTTTTATTACTTCTCTAATTTTAAGAACTACATTTTCTAATACTATAAAAGTCAAATACAGAAAATAGTTCAGTTATTGAACAGATAACAAATCAAATTAAAAGGCCATAACAACTAGAACTAATTTATTTGCTATGCTTGAGTAGTTATTAATTCTTTCTAGCCAGAATCCTTCACAAATCATTGTCATAGATTTATATCTTAATATGTTAATACTGAATTGCTTAGACAATAATCAAGAGTGTTTTTTTTTCAAGCATTTACTGTGTAAATCATTTCAAGTATGACAAAAACCTTTGATTCTGGTTTCTTGTGCAAATCCATATGAATCAGTGTCACCTTTAGCAGAGGGAGAACTATCCCATACAGCCAGAAGGGTATGCCCTGTTCTTTCCCCAACACTCCTGAAGTTCATATATGGTCAATGATAGAAACAATTTTTTTTAAATGCCTACCTACTGAGAAGATAGCAATATTTATGTAGAAACTTAAAAAATAATTTTCATACCCTAAATCCTGCAACTTAATTTTTTTCTTTAATGTTTTTGTATTTTTAAATACTTTTGTTTCATTTATTTATTTTCATGTGGTGCTAAGGATCAAACCCAATGCTTCATACACGCTAGGCAAGCGCTCTACCACTGAGCTATAACCACAGCCCAATTTAATTTCTATGACTCAATCAGAAGGAAATGATCAGTCATTTACAGATTTATCAATAAAACTACATGTGACAGGAGAGAATCTGGAAGCTGCATGAGAATACAATATTAAAAGTAGTATTTTAAGGGAAAATTTAATTGCATGAAAAATGACAATATATAACTAAATATTCAGCATTACCTAAAAGTAGTTAAGAGATCTGAACTAATCAAAAACATACATTTAAAAGTCCTTAGCAACAGTAGCTATCTCCAGTTTTGAGAGAACTCCTTCTTAATATCTTACATTTCCACTATGTTTTTTGTTTTAACAAAAAATTTTAAAAATTTTGTTCAATAACACTCTAGTGCCCTCTTAAATAGGTACAAGTACCTTTTACCAAGAATATATAAGAACCTTCTACCAAGAATTCTGTTATTATTCAGAAAACAAGACAGCAGAATTCTGCTAGAAGGTATTAGACAACCAGGAA